GCATGGCCAACAGTTTATCAGCAGGACTCGTTTTAGGCAGGCTTCAAATGCTTACAGCTGATGTATACAAAATATAAAGAACATATAAAAACACTACACGTTAAAAGCTACCATGCCTAGAATACATGTACTACTAGTAGAATGTGTTTCGTCGCCGACTTCAACTGCTGTCCCTTTTTGTTCAAATGAACGATGTGTGCTACACGTCATTTATAGCATAGTGTCACGACAAAACCAACATAATGGGTTTGCGACCAACGTGGATCCAGACCAGCCTGCGCATCCGCGCAGTCTGATCAGGATCCATGCTGTTCGCTTACAAACCCTATTACAAGTAGAGAAACTGATAGCGAACAGCATGGATCCTGATCAGACTGCGCGGATGCGCAGGCTGGTCTGGATCCATGCTGGTCGCAAACGCACTATGTTGGTTTTGTCGTGACACGGCTCATTTGTAGCATAGTGTCACCATCGCACGTAACGTTATGTTATACTCGCGTATCCCATGCTTTATCACGTATAATAATAATTATAAATCAAGACAGGTGATCAACTCTAATGTAAATGAGTCATTAAACACGAAATGTTTATCTCTTAAGCTTTAAATTACAGCTGTAACGGCCTATATAATAATTAGACACTTTTCACGCATGCCATACAATCTTTATAGATATTCCCTTTTTAAGTGTACTATTAACCAGAATGGCGACAAACTCATTTAAACGAAATTAATTCTGATGTCATTAAATAACAATATATTTTCTCATAAAATATGAATCTCATCATCACCATCATCATCCTCATCATCATCATCATCATCATCAAAAGCAATAACAACAACAGCAGCAGCAGCAACAGCATCAGCTGCTTCTTCTTCAAGTACATTATACTTCTATCATCATCATCATCTTCTTCAGCAGCAGCAGCAGCATATAACCAACATTATCAGCATTATTATTACTACCTTAATCACCACTAACATCATCATAATCATCATCGTCATCATGGTATGTTTCTTTAATTATATTTCATTGTGTGTAAGAAAGCTGTTTAACACTATCATGTAATCAAATCAATGGCTTCTGAGCTTTACCTTATCCTTACTGTAGCTCGAATAATTTCTCTTTTTCAAAAAAATATCTAGCAAAACTCTACCCTTACTTAGAAATCCCTCTTATTGGATTTTCTTTAAAATCTGATCAGTAAATTTTCCCTTTTCACAAAATTTGTTCAGTTACTTTCCAATGCCTTCCCATTTTTCAAGGTTATGAACACTAAGAAAAGATTAAACCTTCCGGAAACTTATTAAAACTTTATTACAACACTAAAAATAAAAATGTTATTATATATAAATAATATATTTATATTTGATAATAAACCTATTTAAAATAAAGGCACATTATGTCTCAGGAGGGATTTTTTTCCTTCTTTAGAAAGGGCAAACATGATAAGTATATAGAGGATATTTGTTTAGTTCAGTATAAGTAAGATCAGAATATATTTCACAGAGTGTGCACCAAAAGGTATATTTCACGAGTGGCGCAGCAACGAGTGAAATATGAACTTTTGGTGTTCACAAGGTGAAATATATTTCGATCTTACACTAAACTAAACAAATTTTCTTTTTATTATATGCAAAGAAACGTTTTAGAAAGACATTAAACCTAATACTGAATGAAAAGCGCACCAAATAATAATACAACGTGGCGTCATTCACGACGTCACGTCATTAAGTTGGTTCCCAGTACTGTGCACGCTGGTATTCACTGAAACAACGTAAGGGGCTTAAATTCAAAACAGTGAAATTATAAAGTTGATAATTTCACTATTTCAAACAGTGAAATTATCAGTTTTATATCACTGATATATTTCTATAAACCACCGAAAAGCATGTAATAAAACGTTTTCATGATGGTTTTAAAGCATGATAGATGCTTATCACCTGACCAAATAAGATAATGTGTTATGAAAGTAAAAAATGTAAACAAAGTAGTATTTTGGCTTCCATACAAAACACTAAATCACTTTAACTACTAATTGCCATGAGGCAACAGAAGCAAAAGATGGTTGGCCAATGTGTATCGTTTTGTAAATTATACTGGAACATCAAAAATGAACAGCTTTTGAGAAATAAAAATTAAAGCATTTCTGAAGCATAATGGGCGATATTTTATACAGTTTTTATTATTAATTTGTGTCATTTCTATCCAACAGTTTAGTATTGAGAATAGAATACTGATTAAGTCGGGACTGATGGATTGAAATTAATTAAACTGCATATGTGCACACTTAGTCATTTTACTCTAATGAAAAGTTACGTGAATTACTTCTTCGAATAATATTTTTTCTTAAAGGCCCACCACGCCCTAAAAATCATTATATTTAACTTGTTACTTTTGCTGTCCTATTATAGCCGCCAAAAGGTAACTTATTGGCTAATAACCTGAGCCATATTTTGCTTCTTTTGCTTTTTGGTAATTAGTACAATTATTGATCGAGTGATTTAGTATTTTGTAAGGAAGTCAACATACATTTTGCTACTTTTATGACAAAATAATTTCACATAAAGCACTATCTTTTAAAGTATCAAGCATTTTACATGCTCTAAAACCTTTATTTAAATGTTTCAAATGTTTAAAACTCATGTTTGCTTTCGCTTTCTATAACAAGGAGGGGGAAAAATGCTTCTGAGACATAATGTGCTAATTATCAACTTTTTCGGACGTGGGGGGTGCCTTTCTTTCACAAGAACATATCATCGTTCTTATTAAGATACATCCCGGGTGGAATGGTTCCACAAGTCTATCCAAAGTTCCAAACCAATATAATATCAGTGTGAAAGTCAATATAAAAATATACTTCATGATAAAAACATATCATACGCATGGATTTACATGAAGGATCGTCACCAGCAAGTGGGTCTCATAAATAAACTCTTCTGACAGTGTATAATCGTGACACTCAAATATCAATAAAAATACACACGCGTTGAAATACTGCTACATGTTTAAAAAGGTACTTAGAATGACAGGCTGAAATCTGTACTACTTTACTTTGTGATTCACGTTGTCGCAATTATTCATCAGTACAATATATGTCCTTTACTCATCACGACTTATAAACATACTAATCCTGGCATATCACGATGACAGTAAATTAACTCACTGTTATTTCATGTATATATAGTTAACTATATATACATGAAATAACGGTGTACGTTTTTCGACATCTAAAATAAAGGCAGAATTTTAAAGAAAAGCCCTAGAAGCGAACAGTTTGGACCGGAATGAGACTATAGCTATAGCTAAGTTCTCACAATCCGTCCATGGAAGTCAATATTATTATATAGTTGTCCGAATATACACTGATCATTCTAAAGATTTTACTTTTTTATACAAGCAAGTATAAATGTGAATATTCTTTTTTAAATTTTACCCCGTATACAAACAGAAATTAATACTTGTTACTATAATTATTAAAGATCAACAAATTTAAGCGATTGTTTCAATTGGTTATAAGTTTCACGTGAGCAATTATGAAAAGACCGCTGTACATAAGCACGTGCAAAATGTGACCGTTTCAGTAGATTTCGCAAAGAGGGTACCAATATGGATACGCACCGTGACGTTAGTGGAGTAAATGCAAACCTATGTCTTTATGCAGGACTGTCTAGCTTGATAACTCCTAAACCCTTAACCTGCTGGCGGCAAATAAAACTACCCATGCGACCAGCGCAGACCTAATAATATCTGTCATATTTTGCGGTTCGGATCGGAATATCCGTCCCGAGGTGACCCGCCCATTGGGCGGTAACGAGGCTTGCCGAGTTACCGCCCATGGGCGGGTGACCGAGGGACGGATATTCCGATCCGAACCGCAAACATATGTCAGATATTTTTTCTTGCATATTCTACCATATTTCATTTTATTTCAAATTCTTTATCTTTATTTTCAATGAAAATTTATATCATTACAACCGTAACTACTTTCTTACAGCAGCGTATGAATTACAAAATTATTCATAACGGTAAAATGACGTCATCTTTATCGTGCCATTGTACAGCACGCGACTCATCTGGAACCCCCCGTGCCAGATGAAATTTCCGGTATGGGTAAAACTAACGGAAACGCCAGTCTGATATGCAAGAAAAGGTCAGTCGGCACATCCATGCCGTCTGTCATAGTCTTCATGTCCTGTTCACTAGTAGTCAAAATTATAATATGAAAATCTCCCTTTGAAAGGACGAACGGCTGTTTTCAGATTGAAAAATGGGCACGTCCATTTGAAGTTATAAGAATGGTTAGGGTTAAAGTATTCACATACACACCTAGAACTATCTTTGTTCCTTCTCTATTCAATAATCGCGAATTGACACTCTTTGGTTTACATGGCCCTAATACGTACCCATACATATATTCTTTGGTATTTAAAGAAGGGTTTTTGGACAGAGAAACAAATAGAATGCTTGAATAAAGTATCAAGTTTTAACTTAATTGAATTATGTAATCTTAACAAGTTCAGCATTTGGTAAATAAAATTTATAATTCATATATCTTTTTCTCGCGCGCGTTTTAATTACTTTGGTAAGACGAATTATAATCCCACATGCTCGTATTTGTTTATATGTTTGCTAGCAATACGATTTAGTTCAGATAATACTTTAAACTTCCGAGTTTTCGTCTTCGTACTTTCACATATTCACTTTTCAGATTACTTCAGGTGGCCCTTACAGAACTTCGTATAAATTTCTACGAAAATCTTTTTTTTTTAAAGTGGTATAAATTGAATATATTTGGTGGATCTTGAATGAATGTAATAATTATATAATTTATTTGTGTGCATTTTCTCAGTATTCATCCGAGTTTATTACCATTTAATTATTGTGTTTTTGTACATACATTATGTCAAAATGACAAAAATCTGTGAGAACTGAATATAAATAAATTTTATCGGAAAGACGATCCGACCATTAGCTTTAAATTAATTTTGCGAGTTTTTATAAACATTACTGGTGTCTCATAGCGTGTTTAAGGTGAAAGTGAAATTACAAGATTATCAAAAATAGAATATGAAATATTCAGTGAGGAAATTCATATAAAAAATAATATAAAAAATACACAAACGGTTTCATCGCACACTGATCACGGTGGCTTATCATGTGATTCGTTACATATCGCGGGCAGACAAAAAAGTAACAACGCGGAAAAAATGGAGGGTTATTTACGTTTACTTTTTATCAGAATCATTTTCGTAAAACGACACTTATCTAGTACAAGTCATTATATAAATATTGTTCCGCGGTTATATGACTTTTACGTGTCCAATTGTAGCAGTTTTCCTGGGAATTAAAAAAATTCTTACTTAATATGTCTAATTTGATTAAGTTTACAAGAACGAAAAACGACACTATTTATTTATACTGAGTTTAACAGTGTGCGTACATTATAGTTTAGGCCTAAAATGTAACATATCTTTTCTGATTATACTTAAAAGATGTTTATTTTATATTAAAAAAGAAACTCTTTAGCAATTACATGTGTCAGTATATTCAAGCATCTAATTTGGTCATAATATAATCGTATTTATTTCATATAACTATCCTCGTCCTCTTCTTAAATTATCCTATCCCTATCTTGATGTAGATCTTGAAAATATCTTCTTTTTTCATTTTTCAGTAAAGATGAATTTGTGCTTCTCCGTCGCTTTTGCCGCGCTTTTGTTGCTAGTGTCTGCAAATCAAACTCTAACTACTGAAGAACTACAAATGATGAGAGATAATAATTACACAATAACTGTAGATGAGAGAGACAACACTGTTATATTTGAACATATTGGAGTGCCTGACCATACATCTGAAAGAGGGTGGGGAAATAATCACGAGGTGGAAATTGTTAATCACAAATACACTCTGCATCTCAAACCAACTGTCGCTTTAATTAAAAAAGGATGTGCAGGGGGATTCGGCGTTGTTGGACTTGCAGTAACCGGTGCGGCGTTTTATAACCCGTTTACTTTATATGGATGGGACGCCGTTAATGGAGAATGTGCCGAGGAGCTTGATAATTGCAAAGGACATCCAAGTCCTGACGGAACATATCATTACCATGGTGTCCCAGAATGCCTTTATACTGGAGATGTTGCAGACAAATTTCTAGGCGTAGCTCTGGACGGTTATCCAATCTACGGACCCATGGACAGTACTGGTAAAAACTGGACCTCTGCTGAGTTAGACCAATGTCATGGGCATACCTATAATGGAAGGTACATGTATAGAGCAACTTTTGACTTTCCCTATCTCATCAGTTGTTTCCATGGAGACAGTGTGAGAGTCCAACAGTCAGGACCACCTGTCAACAATGGTGGCAATGAAACACGAGAACCGCCAGTGGACGACAGACCGTCTGCAAATGGAACAATTGGCAATGCTCCTGGAGTCGGTGAAGCGATTCCACAGAAATGTCGGATGGCCAAGTACCCAAACTGGAACTCTGAGATTTGTTACGTTGTTTGTAGGAATCCTGGAAATGAACTCGACAATTGTTTAGATAATGATATTGGCGGCAGCTCGTCAGTTTTTAATTCCCTATCCGTTATCTATATCGTCACCGCTTCTTTCGTTTTTTTACATTTTCCTGTAACTGACACTTTCCTGTAACTGAGCATTAGGCCAAGTTGAAATGTGTGATATGTTTGAGCCTTAAACTATCCTTGTTACTTATAACTTATATAATTTGAATCTTATTGAATCATCTGAATGAAATCACAGTTGTGCAATAAAACGTTTGGCAAAAGAACATGAACAAAGCGTTAAACAGTTATTTTATGTTGCGTAAATTTGCAGTAAAGCTCTATGAATAAGAGTTCTTTTCAATTCAATGTGGTATTAAATGTATGTGCAAAGATTATTTCGTATTTATACTCACTACCTTAAGTTTATTACATTTTGATTTCATTGAAAATGCATAATGAATTGTGTGAGTATGTACACTGCAAACAAAATTTGAGCCGCGTCATGACAAAACCAACATAATGGGTTTGCGACCAGCATGGATCCAGACCAGCCTGCACATCCGCGCAGTCTGATCAGGATCCATGCTGTTCGCTATCAGTTTCTCTACTTGCTATAGGGTTTGTAAGCGAACAGCATGGATCCTGATCAGACTGCGCCGATGCGCAGGCTGGTCTGGATCCATGCTGGTCGCAAACGCACTATGTAGGTTTTGTCATGGCACGGCTCATTTAAAAGATTTAACCTTCAGGAAACTTATTCAAACTTTAACTTGTTTTATGAGTTTTGTCGTGACGCGGCTCATTTTATTCTTGCAGTCCATCAACTTATCTTTTCTATTTCAAGTCGAGTATAGAAAGCGAAATAAGATATTTAATGCGCAAAAATATCTCCCACATTTAATGTTTGTAAAACGTTTTTTGAAACGTTCATGTTTTACTATGTTAAAATTAAATAATTCTATGATATATATAAAATGAAAAATAGAAAAAAACGTTAGCTCAAGATTTGGCAAAAAATCTTATATGACCTTTTCAAAATTTCAAAGCGAATTAAAAAGGACGAACACTGATTACCTTTTAGTGTGCGTAACTATACATGTATCTATACCAATTAGACATATTTGGAAAAATAAGCCACCTTATAAATAACAATAAGGAAATGGCATATCTAAAAGGCTCTTTCTCCCTTTTTGGTATGAGAAGGGGAATCCTGTGAATCGTACGGTCATTTTCCTTTTAACATGTCCTCGATACATGTATGTAATCGCACGGTCGAAAATAATTAACAAAATAAAGTTTTCAGAAGTGTTTTGGTTTAGAAGCGTTCTGGTGCCAACTGCTAATGATTTTCTAAAACACTCACTCGTAATAGCAACTTTTAAAAGCCTTATAAGGATTTTTGAACAAATTTTGCTACAAAATTTTTAACAGTTGCAATTATAAGACGGGTTGTAAATTAATCCTATATGTTTCAGATATCTTTCAAAGTCATGTGATTATTGTTATTGCATATGGGGCATCTATTTGGGGAACAAGATCCTATTCTTGCATAAATGCAGTGCAGAGTCGAGCAATGAGATTCTTTATGGGGTTGGGTAAATATACCCCTATTAATGCCATTTATGGTGAGTTAGTTTGGCAACCCCCTCATGTGAAACAGTGAAGATCTGTGTCTCAACATTGGCATAGAGTGAAGTCAATGGATAGTGAGAGAATTAATTTCAAGATTTTTAGATTTTGTGACAGTAAGAGTAATAATAGTTGCAAAAATTGGCAATTTCTGTTTGTCAAACAATTTATTGAATATGTCAAACGATTTTATTAACATGTCTTCCAAATATTTTTGTGATAAGATAAGTAAGTGCACCATGGATACTTTCATTCATGATTGGAGAACCAGTATTCAAAATGTCACGGGTCCCTCTGGTAGAGGTAGAAATAAACTTAGGACTTATACGCAGTTTAAATCTGTTTATGAATCTGAAAAGTATGTTGAATGTTCAACTTTGTCTAGTAAATACAAGTCTGCGTTAGCTAAGTTTAGATGTGGAGTTGCCCCCTCCGTTTAGAAACGGGGAGATATGAAAATATCCCAGAAGAGCAGCGTCTATGTCCATTTCTATAATATGAACTGTGGAGTTATCCCTCTTAGTAATAGTTATAACAAGTCTCTTGTAATTCTATCGAGAATGGCTATATACAATTTTAATGTTTTAAATGTTTTATATGTATATATGTGTATAGATGAGACTATAATAAAGAATAAATATATATGTGATAGTTTAAAGGGAATTAACTATCAAGTGTTTATTTCACATTTGATGCAATGCTATTAATTTCCCTTTAACTGATACTACATATATAATTAGTGTTGCTGATGATAACAATATTGATGGTGGTGTTTTTTCTTGTGGTGGTGGTGATGATGATAATAATGCGTTTAATTAGGAAAAGAAGGGCGGAGTGGACGACGGCGAATGTCATGTTGATGATGATGGTGAGTGCTGTCGTTGTTATTGATAATAGTAATAATAATAATAATAATAATGATAATAATAATAATATGATGATGATGATGATGATGATGATGATGATGATGACCTTAGTAGGTTATGTTTTATTACAGACGACGTTCGGATTAAATTAACGTTTGAAAAGCAACCTTGTTGTCCTCAGTATTTGACACTGTTCTTAATGATTTTTTAATTAAAGAGGTGAATTAACAATCTCACTAATATAATAATATTTCGTTACGATGGAAAGTTGGCGAACTGACTAATTATGTGGTTTTATATCGTAAATTTAAAAAAGAACAAAAACACATTTACATTAAGTTAAATGTGATGTTGAGTCACAAGCGTGAAGCGTGTCGCGTTTTTTGGTATATTGTGGTTTAGTCAGAGCTGAAATTTAAACTTTAAACTAGAATTTAAATCAAAATATATACATTATGTGGTTAATGGTTCATTATATTCGAATTCAAACTCCTGTTTTGATTTTAATAAATGTAATATTTATATAATGTAGCATAGTTTTCTAACCCCAAAATGATCGCCGTGTTATATATAATATTAAATTAATTTATCCCAAAAATTAAATTAGTTTTAATTCTTAATACAAAACACCAAATTCATTTTTCAAAGGACAACGGTAGCTTGATGTTGTTTCAAATGTGATATTTATGACTAGTATTCAATGATAATTGATCACTTATATTATTCATCATAATTATATAGTACATAATTCAACAGTCAACTATGACTTTAAACACTTCAAAAGTCATACCTACACTGTTGCCATGCTACTTTTTTCCAGTTTAATTTGTGGTGTCCCTCAATATGTACATACATTATCGCACGAATAAAACCAATGATCAGTTTTAATGTAGCTGGATAGCTTCCTCACATGACAGTATAAAATCCATACCGGTGAGGGTTTAATGAGTTTCGAAGTCAGGGGCCTTAATTACTGGGCTTCGGATGCGCCACTTGTCAGTGTTAAGGAATGCATACAGAAGATTTGGTTAAATGTTAAACAGGCCGAATCAGGAAAACACGTTTCTGGCACGTGTCTGGTGTACATAAAATCTACTACAAGAAACTTAAATTCAAGAATACCACTTAAGGGGACACAAGTCTGAGCCTAGTCATAGAAATCCTGGTTACTTTACCTGTTAAATATTACGTTTTGCGGATAACCGTATACCAAATTAAAACATCAGTTTAAACTATTGTTATGCCCTTTATATTAACAATGTTTGTATTTTCATGTTAAGAGTGGCAATGGTATAATTGCAGAGTAAGACCAGCATGTACATCCAATCCTGAGTGTTCACTATAACATGAATTAAAGGCGGACTTTAAATAATATTAGGTATGAAATTTTAGAAAATTTTCATAATCATTTTAAAAAGTAAACATATTTATTTCATCGAGTGAACTTTAAAAACAGTATTCTCACTCGTGGCTACGCCACTCGTGAAAATACTGTTTTTAAAACTCACTCAATGAAATAAAATTTCATTTTACACACAAACAAACAAATATCCTCTATTTAAACGTTAATACAAATATTGAGCTTGATCTTAAATTGTATCCCCTTTTTCTGATCTAGCGATTTTTGTAATTTTTACTGTTATTCCGACATTTTATCACAAAATAAGTTTGTTTCTTTGCAAACTATATTCGTTTATAATCATGTACACTAGACAATTACAATTTTTATATGCATCAAATCATATTAGCGTAATAATATTATGAACAATATAATACTGTGTTTCTTACCTCCGATCAGATCAACTCGATCAAGCACGATCAAGCGATCGGGTTACGGTCTAGCTCGGTCTGCATGCGTGATCGGGGGTGATCGGGTCGGTCTACATTGGTTGGCATGGCTCGGGCTTCCTACCCGAATTTTTTTGACATGTCAAAAAAATCGAGTAGCGATCGAGTAGATCAGCGGTCGAGAAGCGTTCGTATAGTGATCGAGAAGAATATCTAGTTGATCGTGAATAAATCGTGTAACGATCTAGTTTGGTCGGGTATACCTCGGGTATACATGATATTACCCGATCTGTACACGATCATATCGACTTCTACTCGAGCATTATCCGATGGCAACCCGATCAACTCGACCTCTGTTCGATCTATTGTCCAGAATAACTAGACTACTACCCGACTGCTACACGAACAAACACGATAGCTTCCCGATAGTTATTCGACCATACACGAGTTCACGAAACCTAAACAATATAAAGATGTAAACTTATTGTTGGCGTCCCATTAGTTGTTACAAATTTGAAGATAGAGCAACTTCCAAATTCTTACAACAAAAATGCCTAGAAAGGGCAAAAAGGCATTATGCAGCACGAGTAGTAGGACTATCTGGACCACAACTGCAACTGCTCAATCTCCATCATGAACTGATTTGAACTAGGAATGTTTAAGATTTTATTCTAAACAATTCGATACACGACTATTCACGACTAGATTACGATCATTACGATCTGGTCGGGTGGAAATTTTGGCAACGATCGAGCAGTGGTCCAGTTAGTCTAGTTGAGATCGTGTATGACTCGCGTATAGGTCTGGGTGATCGAGAAGAAGTCGGGATGTTGGTCGGGTTGTCGTCGACATGAAGTCGTAAAACATCGTGTAGGGTCGACTTGAGGTCGTGTAGGAGTCGAGAATGTGCATTTAATCCAGCTTGGTCGGGCTTCATCGGGGAATTAATGTGATCGGGACGATAGAGTTGATCTGATCGGCGGTGAGAACATAGCATAAGCTTCATACTTAAATAAAAATAAAATTACGATCATTTGGTCCTTATTCTGATCCTATTTTTGTTAAGATGGGACCAGACTTTACAAATGACTACTCTGCTTTAATAT